TACATGGTGTGTATTGACCATAGGTCTTACAGTTATGAGTGTGTGTTAATATTATTGTATTGGTCAGCAGTTCATCGTACATAATGTTAAGTGTGTAGACGTTGTACTAGTACATATATATATATTTAGGTATCATGTAACATATTATAATTGTTACAGCGTCTCAGAGATTTTTTAAAATTTTGGCACCTATGTTTTTATGATTTTGTTTTGTGTATCTTACAAATATTTTTGTTCAGTGTTTTTTTAACATTAAAACAATTTTAAATTTAATAAAAGTTGATTTTTCAGTTACAAAGATTATATCATTATATTTGTTTTATTCAATACTAACCTCTTTCCACGATTTTATATCCTTTTCTTTAACACCCGGGTTTCTTAAATTGTTAAGTTGTTTGACTAACTCTTCCCATGAACCATTTAATCTGTCTTTAGCATTCATACAATTAAATTTCCCCGTTGCTACATGCGGATTTTGCACCATATAGTCTATTAAAAACGAGGATTGCTTGTCATTCCTTCGTCCTTGTCTAGTCTTTTTCGAGAACTTGTCCTGATTCTGGTTACTGCTATAACATAAATAGATTAATATTTTTAAGCAATTAAAATAAATACAATTATTAAATTAATAAATAATATTCATAATAGTTACCTGTTTTGTGAATTTTCCATTTTAAGTTAACTTGGACACTTGAACGAACAAACGAACGTCGGAAACTCAGAATGTATTATAAAAATAATTTAAAAGTCTGATAACACCTTAATGATAACATTTAACATTATATCAATATCAGAATGATAAGAACGGACTGCTTTCATTGGCTATATTATATAATCTCCCATTGCTTGAACGGTGGCTCAAAATTGTATATCGAATATTCGATAACCAATTATGTAACGATGTCTTATCGATACAGCATTTTATAGAATCGCAATTTTGATATCGGTTTTCGATACATAATCGAATACTGGTTAACGAATATTTATCGATACAATTCGATACGTTATTATCGAGTTACAGAATCGATCTGCTGGCGGCGTAAACATTTTGGTAGCAGAGCGTGGTTTTTTCCGTGTCAGTGGGGACCCGGTGAGCGTTGTGCGTGGGTATTGGTAATGTTATTATAGGACAAATTGTATTAGACACTTAATTAGTGWGATCAGCGCACGGTTCCGAGCGTTATCGTAGGCCGCTAGTGCAATTGCCTCGATATCAAGCATTATCGGTATTGCCMTTATAGRCGCGCGTTATATATTATTATAGTGTTTATCATCGTGTATATTATAGCGTATAATATTATTATAGTATTACATAGGTAGTGTTTTATCTTTTATACTTTATTTCATTTATCATGGTAAACGAGGAGCAGCAGCGGGTAGATAGGTTGACGCGATCGAAATTGTTCGCCGATGCAAAGCGCAAGGCAAGGTTATTGATATAAGGCGTGGATACAATTGATTTATCGTACCTTAAATGTCAAGTAGGACCGTCTGTCACCCCGAATAACCAACCGGGTCCGACAAAACAATTGTCTCGACTTCCTGATATTCCGTTGCCCGAATTTGACGGTGATTATCGTTATTGGCCTACTTTCTGTGATGCGTTTGARTCTTTGGTCAATAGTCGCCCCAATATATGTGATATCGACAAATTATATTATTTAAAAGGATGTCTAAAGGGCCGTGYGGCAGATGCTGTGARAGATATACCATTGTCGGCGGAAAATTACGCATTGGTGCGGTCGACGCTTTCGGATCGATTTTATCGTCCACGGTTAGTGGCTATGTCTTTGGTCGACAAATTGTTAGGCGCTACGCCCGTTAAACAGGAGTCTCTTTCCGAACTTAATAGTTTCATGTGTTCATTTAGTGAAAGTATGTCTCTCCTCAACKYGTTAAAAATTCCAGATTTACGKTCTTTTATTTTATTTTCGGTTGCTTTTCGTTGTTTGCCGGTATYGACGCGCAAATTGTTCGAAACAAGTACGATATCCGATTATCCAACAATCGACGAGCTCATGAAATTTTTGCGAAACCGCGTAGCCGTATTGGAGGTTGTAGGCGAACATCGTGATCACGGCRCCCTCATTGCGCATACAAAATCGACGCCACAACATAGCCACCTCAAAAGGGAAACAAAYCGATTAGGGAAGTCGCGGTTTTCGTCCCATCCCACTACGTTAGTTACGACCAAACCGTCTAACTCGACAAATAATAGTTGTCCGTGTTGTTCTGGCGCGCATGGTTTRGGGGTWTGCGCTAGATTTAAAACGTGGGCTGTTRACGAGCGCTCTCGCTGGACCCGGGAGCATAAATTATGTTTTAACTGCTTTAGCGCCGATCATTGGGCTCCTAAGTGTACTGCCAAGTCGCGATGTCACGACTGTTCTCGTAGGCATCACTCCCTCCTTCACCCACCGGGGACTGTTACTCATGTTAGCGGGGACGCACAACAGTCGGATGTAGTGTTATGCGCGTCTGCACCACCGCCACAAGTGTCAAAAGCCACGTCGGTATTGTTAGGAACGGCGCTATTACATGTACGTGACAGGGCGGGCTCGTGGCAAACCGTACGCGCACTAATTGATTGCGCGTCACAAATTAGTGTAATAACTACCGCGTGCGCCGATCGGYTGGGACTTCGGCGTGATCGATGGACCACACCCGTGACAGGTTTGTCTGGCGTTACAATTATGGATGTTCAGGGCYGTGTCGATTGCGTAATACAGCCGCGATATTCGAACGATCCAGTGTTATCAGTTCAGGCGTGGGTGCTGCATTCAATCACTAATGATCTCCCTAGGAATATATTACCTGCAGGTATAAAAGACCGATTTTCGAATTTARCGTTGGCCGATCCGTCGTTCCACATTACAGCTCCGGTCGATTTATTGTTGGGGGGTGACGTGTATGCGGCAGTAATGGACGGGCGCAAAATCACRGTTGACAAAAATCTGCCGGTCGCGTTTAGTTCGATTTTTGGCTGGATTTTGATGGGACCAATTTCTGAGGGGGAACTGACGTCATTTCATTCATTACCGGTGTCCCTTACTATTTCCCTAGAGATCCGGWGACCTTTACTGATGATGGGCGATGCGAAAAAATTTTCCGAGACGGACACGTGCGTCTGCCGTCCGGTCGTTTTGCCGTGTCACTACCGTTTCGCGCAACCGTTTCCGACCGTACATTTGATCGATCCCGTGAAACAGCAATAAAACGGTTCGAATCGTTAGAACGCAAATTGACCACGGATCCTAAGCTTAAGTCAATGTATAAAGATTTCATGGCCGAATATCTCGCGTTAGGTCATATGTCGGTAGTAGTATAAAATAGAGAATTCAATCACAAGATCC